CCTCGCCCCTCGGCCTCTCCTGCCTGCTTCCCCCAGCCCCTACCTGAAATGGATGTGCTGTGGCCATCTGCTGCTCTCCTGCAGCTGAGATGATCATGGCTGGAAGACAGAAGTTGAACTGGAGCCTGCAGGGACAAGAGAAATGGCAGGAGAGCTGTGAGGGAACGCAGCAGTCCCTGTCCCAGCCCAGCCCTCCACAGCCCATCTGCAGGGCACTGCCTGGGGGATGGCACAGCAGGCCTTGCACAGGAACACAAGCAGCAACAGCACTGGTAACCTCAACCTCAACTCTGGCTAAAAGATGAACCATCTCAAAGCTGTCTCAAACTGTGGGGCGGAAAGAACTGTCGGCTGACACTCAGTTCAACAGCTGAGGACACACGGACTGTATGCCTAAGACAAAGCATGGCAAGGACACTGTCATCTTACCCCAAAACAGGGAGCAGCCCAGGTGCCCTTCGAGTTCTCCTGCACAGCAGTGTGCTGCACAACGGGATCTCCCCTCAAGTAGGGATGTCTCTCGAGGTCACACCTGCACACCTGCACCTTGCCGCCAAGACTCCTTCCGGATAGAGAGATTCTGGAAGAGACTCATGGTTACTTTGGAGCTATCAGAGCTCCTCTGAGGTTATGTCTTAGAGAGACTGTGCACATATGATTCCTTTGACGTACGGCCCTTGACCAAGCCTGGGACTAGGAGCGGATCCAGCCATGGCCAGGCTCCTTACCTTTGTGGCTTGCGGACTTCACATAGGAACAGGGACCGCTCTGAGCCTCGTGACTCAACAGGAAGGTCTGCCGTAGGTGTGGGTGTATCCCTATCCTCTATGCAGGAAATAACCAAGTGTATCCGACCATCTCCCATCTTGCTGTGTCACTGTTAAATCACTACAACCTATTTGTACTATTTCAATAAATATAGTCCTGCTTCTCCCTTAGGTGTGTATATTGTGTTTGGATCCATCTGTGGCAAGTTGGTGAAGTCTGCAGAATGGCAACAAGGGACACAAAGTGATTACAGGAGACACGGAGCACGTTCCAAATTCTCCTATGAATGTCCTTGTGGCAACTGTTATAGTTGAGAAGCGAGCAGAGGTCATTAGGGGCAGTAAAAGGGTGAAAAAGGGGAAAGGTGTTATCAGCATAATGTCAGGTTTGGAAGTAACACAAGAAGCAAAGGAGAACTGTACCGGTCCTCCCTGGATGAAAAATGACTGATATTCCACAATATTTCTGCTGCGCTACGAGGGTCCTGATTTATGAAAAACTTCACGAGCCAGCAGTGTGCTCTGGCAGATCGGAAAGCAAATGGGATCCTGAGCTCCATCAGAAGAGGGGCGGCCAGCAGGAACAGGGAGGTGATTGTCCCTTGTACTCCATCCTCATGAGGCTCCATCTGGAGTATTGTGCCCAGGTCTGGAGCCCCCAGCACAAGAAAGACAGAGAGCTGTCGGAGAGGGTCCAGAGGAGCCACAGAGATTATCAGGGGGCTGCAGCACCTTCCCCACGAAGACAGGCTGAGGGAGCTGGGCTTGTGTAGCCTGGAGAAGAGAAGGCTGTGGGGTGACCTCATTGCAGCCCGCCAGGGCCTAAAGGGAGCCTACAAACAGGAGGGGAGTCAATTCTTTGAAAGGGTAGACAACAGTAGGACAAGGGGAAATGGTTTTAAGTTGAGGGAGGGAAGATTTAGGTTGGATGTCAGGGGAAAGTTCTTTACTGTGAAAGTGGTGAGGTGCTGGAGAAGCTGCCCAGAGAGGCTGTGATGCCCCATCCATCCCGGAAGGTGTTCAAGGCCAGGTTGGATGGGGCCCTGGGCAGCCTGGGCTGCTATGAAATGTGCTGGCTGGTGGCCCTGCATGTGGCAGGGGGTTGGAGATTCGTGATCCTTGAGGACCCTTCCAACCCGAGCCATTCTGTGATACTGAAGGTAATGGTTATTCACATAACAAAGACTTCCCTCTGTCACCTACAATCCTTTATGCCACACATCCTGAACTTTTATAGTTTGATTCCAAACAGATGGGAAATTGCACCAAGAACACTGTAATTGAAGGCACTGCCTCTACACAGTTCAACAAACAGAGGCAGCAGAATTAGTGCTTATTGTCTAGCTCAGCTGCAGTTAAAAAAACACAACAGTGATAGATGAGAAAGGGGAAAGGGAGTTTTATTGGAGGTCTGAGTGGAGAAGCAAGAGGAGGAAGTACAACAAGGACAGCCTGTGCCAACCGGGGGATCTTTTGATTGACTGGAAGCACGCCTAAAGAGAACTGCTACCCAGGAAAGAGCTGCAGAAAACCTGTTAGGAAATGGTACGGCCATCCAACAGGAGGTGCAGAGAAGTACCTGGATCACTGGAGAACACTGAATGCAGCCCCAGCACACAAACACAGCGAGCCTCAGCGCAGATGGCAGCTGCCAGCAGAGCAGCGTGCTGGAGAACCACCTCTACACACAGTGAGGGGAACACCTGCTGGCAAAGGGATTCAATCCTCTGGGAGATGTCTGTACATCTCCGGTGTGGAAGTAGCCTTGGCCTGGATTAAATCAACTAAGCCCTCAGAAAGGGCTTGGGAAAAGTACTTTGTGAAGGCAACTTACGTAGCCCACAAATCCACCTACTGCTGATGTCACCTAAAAGCGATAATGGCTCACATTCCTCAGGTAAGGAAGAACAAAACTGGAAGGAGATGGGATGGCTTACTTAAAACAAATACAGAAATAAATCAACAAAACATCCAACCAAATGGAGACGATTTATTCACCTCCTGAGGAGAGAGTATCTGACAGCACTGTAGCCAAGCCAGGCTGTGACAGTCAGAGCACCACCTACCGATGCTGTGCTGGTAACTGAACTATGTAGGCAACTTCTTGAATAGTAGCGGTGCTGAACAGAACAATTAAGCATCATGGATTTATCCTTCTCTGTAATGGGTGACCTGTTTAGAATTCCCCACCGAGACGATTCCTTACTTTTCTTAGCAGCGCTGGGATGGCAACTGGAAATGCTGTGCTGTGCTGCTACTCGGGGAGAAACTGGGATAATGCCACTGTTGTTAACATGAGGACAGGAATCCTCACCATAGGCCATCAGCCCAGCGCTAAGCGCACAAAACGTAACGCTGCAAGGGCCGCTAGACGCAGATGTTGCCTGCTGGGTCCACGAAGGGAAACTGCGGGCTGACGGGGAACGGAGAGGAGCGGAAATTCCGACCTTGGAGGCTTCACGTTCAGACACTCAAAAGGAAGCATCGGGGAGTTGAAAGCTTCCATCAATCCATGCGTGCAGAGCTGCAGAG